CACACAATTAGGAGTTGTGTAGCAGCACAATATTGCATAGCATCCCATCATACAGATGCAGAGAATAACTTGAAAATAGGGATGACAGGAAAATGTAAGTAAATAATTGGGAGTGACAATTTCGAGTATTTATCATTTCTTGTTTGTATATTGACTTTGCATTTATAAATGTATGTAATTTTATTTATTTTAATTTATTTATTTTTATATGTGTGGGTGTTTTGTCCCACCTGCTAGTTAGGCAACTCCTAATGCTGCATACCTCTTCCCTTGACTGCTCTAACTTCTTTCTTTCTTGGGGAGGTTAATTTATTTATTTTCACCTTATGTGCATTGGTGTTTTGGCATGGATATCAGGTCCACTGGAACTGGAACTACAGACAGTTGTGAGCTGCCATATGGATGTTGGGAATTGAACCCACTCTAGAAGATTAGTCAGTGCTCTTAACCATTGAGCCATCTCTCCAGCCCTGTAATTTTATTTTTAATAATGATAATGCTTACTAAATAGCTTATAAAATTTCTAAAAAATTAACAACTGATCTGTGAACTTCTATGAGTGGATTCTGTTATAGCACATCTTTTCTGTATGTCTTGAAACACTATGCAAACCACTATTTTCTGATGTGTTAATTCTACTTGTTCTGATTTCCTGCTTTAATAGATGAAAATATAGTGAGGCATTATTTGTTTTCTTCCTGTAGTATCCAGCTTCCAATATACTTCCCCAAAACCTCTCTTTGGTTTTCAGTTCTTTGTGTGGTTCCCTCAACCACAGACTGGGACAGATCAGAATGTATGGTAGGAACAAACCACGTGAAGGACATTTCTAAGCAGAGAAACTGGTGAGTGTGGACATGTGAGGAAGGGCGGTGCTTGTCATGTCTCAATGAACCTGTGTCCCTTTTTCGTCTTTGCACATACAGCAGACTATTTATAAATGCAATTGCTCTTTGTTTCAATAGAGACTTTGGCTCAACATGATAAAAAATGAAGATGCTCGGTGATCTGGTATCTAATCCTGATGATATTGCTTTTGTGCTTTTACAGTCTACATTTTTGTTCATCTGTAATCATAGTTGATTTATTTATGAGATGATTCTAAACTAGAAATGAGTAATATTTGTAGAATGGTTATTTCATTATCATACGAACATGATGTGCTGTTCCCCATGTGTTCCTTGTGATCACTAGTCCTTGTCAAATTCAACATCACTATGTATATGTGTAAACAGTGGCAGTGTTTCCATGGCCATAGTGATTAGATGGCACTCTTTGTACCTAGTACCAAGAGACTTCTCAAGTTTCCTCTGAAATTTCTGTGCACTCTGTTAATTTCGTGTTCTCTATATATCTTCCTCATGAAGTTCTTTACTCAAGAACCAATTATGGACAAATTTTGTCTCTCCCAAGCTATCATTCTTCTCTCAGTTTGGAAATATTGTTTCTTCAGCCCACACAAATTTTTCACATTTTCTCAAAAGAAAAAAGTACTCATGTTACTTCCTTAGAATGATTGTGTTAGAAGAAAACTTTCTAATAATTTAAATATCTAAAATTGTTTCACCTCACCTCACAAAATCACTGTAACGATAGCCTCCTCATTTGATAGGCCACATCCACACACATGCACACTTTTCATTGAGGACGTAAAGTTGATGATCACCCCCTAACACACACATACTTTAAAGAGATGGCTTATGTGTGTAGTGCTTACTTTTACTAATAAAAACTCTCATACCAATTTGATTGCTTTACTTTTCTGTCTGCTATATTCCTGTCTGTCAATTATAGTTTGAAATATATCTCTGAAGATGTATTTTGAAGTTCTAGCCTTCAGAATTTTAGAATGTGATCTTATTTGGAAATAGTCTGTGCTCATACCTTGACTAATTTTATTAAGATTCAGTATAACTTGGATGGAGAGGGTACCAATTCAATATAACTGGTGCCCTTTAAGAAAATGAGTTT